CCCACAGCACGCTCCCTGACCTTACCCTGGCCAGCTAGCTCACAGCACATTACCTGACATTCACCTGGACTGGCCCATAGGGCATCCCTGACTCACCCTGGGTGGCCCATACACGTTTCCTCCCTCGGGTTTCCCAGCACACTGCCTCTCCTGCATCGCTCTGCAGGACCGAGGCACCAAAGGAGGTGGGGAACTGGTTCCAGGCCTGGGGCCTGGTGTTTCTATGTTGCTCGGATTTCTGAGGGGTGATGATGGTGGCCCTGCCCTTCATCAGAGTATCCAGGGCTGGGCGGTGCTAGCCAGTGTGAAAGGCTGAATCGTGAAATCAAGAGTCAGGACAGGAAATGACACAGCAGACACCTACGGAATATTTCTCATTTTGGGGGAAAAAAAAAGGTAAGGAAACGTTAACTGAGCTTCCTGAGAATCTCCACTCTCGCTCCCTCCGAGGAGCCCCTGCAGCACTGACAGCTCCCTCCCCACTTGCAAATTACAGCAACAATGATGATAAATATCCTCTTAATAAACAATCCTGACAGCAGCTTAGAGTTTTCCAGGGAGAGGAGGCTAAATAGCAAGTGGCTAAATCCTCATTCCCCCCTGGAGCACAGCTCAGGAAATGGATGGGGGCTGAAATCTCAGGCCAGCCCAGCTTCACTGTCCCTTGTGGGGAGAGGGGAGGAGAGACACACACGTGAACTGGCTTTTGCATGTGTACCTCGGGGCTGGGGGTGGAGGGAAAGGATTCTTTCCAAGCAACAGCTGCAACTTTTCGTTTTGGTTTTAGCCACTAGTGTGGTTGGGTCTCCATCCTGACTGCACATTAGAGTCACCAAGGGGCTTAAAAGCACCTGTGATGGGCCCCCACCCAAGACCACTTGGCTGTCTATGGTAGAACGGTTGTAAGTGGAAGGAATATGGACGTAGGCTGTGTGGCTTTGGGCAAGTTACCGAACGCCCCTGAGCCTGGGTTTAATAAAATCTTCTTTGCAAGGCTAGCAGGTAGCTCAGCACCACCTGTGAAAGTCCCATGTTTAATTTCTTCTGAGTGAAAAGGGGTCTTAGTGACCACCTAGTCCCACCCATCCATTTGAAGGGGCTACGGTCACGAAGACTCTGGGCATGCTGACATGAAATATGACTATTTTCAGCACATCACACCCTTGCTTCTTGGCCAGACACAGGCACTTCCAAAGTGGGGTGGACAGTGGGGCGCGGGGAGCTTTCCTAGTAGAGGAACAGTATGTGGAAAGACTGATGGCAAGAGCATGTAGGGTGTTTCAGAGTCCTGGGGACTCACAGAGGTGGGCTTGGGCTGCAGGCTAGAAGGCAAACTTCTCTGCAAACTTCTGCTTGTGCCCATGGAACGTGAACATGTGTCCACAGCTGGCAGAAGCCACGCTTCTCCCCACTGGGGATGGAGACTCCTGTTTCAGGACCCAGGACAGAGTTTGTTTTGTTCCTTGATTCCCAAGTGAAGATGACTGCACTGCAGGCTGTGCAGGGAAGGTGGTTCCCCTCTGAGGGCTCACGAGGGAGGCAGGGGATGCCTGCCTGGTTCAGGAGGCTTCCTGGCACACCTGCTGGATGTGCCCCTGGTGCCTGCCATCCCTTCAGCCGGTAGGGGCTGGCTAGGCTGCCGCCCTCTGCGTGTGCTCTCTGCTACGGCATCTGTGAGCCTCCCCTCCCACCAGCACTGCCAGCGCTTGAAGGTGCCATCTGGCATCTGTATCTCTGAGGTACTGTTCTCAGCAGTGTGCTCTGCACCCGCTTTTGTTTGCTTTGTTCACTCATGTATGTATTGGTGGCTGGGATGTGCCAGACCCTGCTCTCTGTGATGAGGGTCCAGCAGATCCTACCTTCATGGGGCTCGTCTTCTAGGAGAGAAAGTAATAGTGGACCCGAGTCAGGGTGGAAGGACATACAACAGGGCAGGTGGTGGCGCTTTAGGTGGGAGGTGGGTGCACCTCTGAGGAGGGAGCTGAGCAGAGACCCGGATGCGGTGAGGGAGCAGAATGTGCCATGCGGGGTGGAGGGAGAGCTTTCACAGCCAGAGGAGCAGTATGTGCAGAGACGCTGACAAAAGAGCATGTTTGGGTGTTTCCAGAGGAGCAAGCAGGTCAGTGTGGCTGGAGGAAATGAGCAAGGAATGGGGACGGAGGGGCAGCCAGAGGCCAGATGACAGCGAATCCTGTAAAGATTTCTGCTGAACTGTATCATTAAGGTGATGGGAATCCATTAGAAGGTTTGGGGCAGAGGAGTGAGATGTTTTTATTTACATTTTAAAGGGCAATTCTGCTGATTTGTGGAGAATAAACGGGAAAGGGGCAGGAGAGGAGGAGAGGGGTGAGCTAGGAGGCAACGTCCCAGAGCTCGGGGCTGTTCAGAGCTCAGAGGGCAAGGATGGAGGCCATAGCGTGGTAGGATTCGTGATCTTTCTTGAAGATATTTCTGGCAAGATCCCTGGGGAAGGTTAGGCAGAGAAGCCAAAATGATGCTACAGTTTTACATGTTATTTGAATGAATGGATGAATTATTTTAGATCAGAATAGGAGATGCCAAAAAACGGGCTGCATCTAGTAAGTGGTAGCAGAACAGACGACCTTGAGTTGAGGAAGAAGAATCTGCAGAGGAGTCTGCAGTTTGCGTGCAGAGGCCGCGGGCCCCGAGCAACGGAAGGTGTGGCGCCTAGAGCAACAGGGTGGTGACCGTGGCCCCGAGGAGCCTGTCACTGCTGCCAAAATCAGGTCGGTGCCGGGGAGGGGAGGCAGGAGTGTGTGCGTGCATACGTGTGCGTGCGTGCGTGCGTGCGTGCATGTGCGTGAGTTTGGGATGGGGTGGCGTGAAGGGGACAACAGACCCAGTCAGAAGAGGCTGAGACGGAGGAGAGGCAGCAACTCCTGAGCGCTCTGTGGACGCGGGAATTGGGAAAGCGACCCCAGACGCGGGGGACCTTCCCGCTGTCCTCAGGAGCCCGAGGCCGCCCCGAGTCGGGGGGGGGGCAGGGAGACTGGCCTCCAGATCTGAGCAAGTGACCACCAGGATGAGGACAGGAGAAGGGAGGAGGGCACTGAAACAAGCCGCAGTCCCTGGAGGAAATCTGGAAATGGGCAGGGCGCCCTTCCAGACGGAGGAGGAGAGGAAAGGGGACAGAGGCGGGATGCGCTCCGTGCAGCCCCCTCGTATTCCGGGTCCTGCTTTCACGAAGGGAGCCCTGAGAAGACCCACAAGAGTCAGCAAACATGACGCCGGAAATGAGTAAGGAATGACCAAGAAAGTCAGCGCGCTGGGAGGCAAGAAAAGCCGGATTCCGACGGCGCAGCTGCCGCCGTGAGAGGCAGGCTCACGCGGCGAGGGGGC